AGTTTCTTTCCTGCTCTAGGCTGGCACTTTTCCCACTTGAGTCCTAGCTCAACTTCTGGGGTTTTTTGTTGTTGTTTTTATTGTTAGTTTATTGGAGATAAGAGTCTAAGAGTCTCATGGACTTTCCTGTCTAGGCTGGCTTTGAACCACAGGTCCTCAGATCACAGCCTCCTAAATAGCTAGGATTACTGGTGTGAGCCCCTGGCGCTTGGTGGGGCTGGTTTATAAAGAGAGAGGTTCGCTGTTCCATCCAGTCATGTAGCAAGGGACAAGTTCATGTTCGGAAGGACATCTCACTGGCTTCTGCCAGACTGCTGAGAGGACGCTGACCCCCGACCGCAGGGGACATGCGGGGGGGGGGGGGGGGGGGATCAGGGACTCGCTAAGGCAGGAAATGCCAGGCAAAGAAGCTTTAAGGAATGCAACAGGCTCACTCAGAAATGCCAAGTCAGGGCTGTGTATTTACAGATTGGGGGGGATGACTGAAAATCCCCCCCCCCCCCCCCCCCCCGGCCTGGATTGCTCCTGAGGAGCAGCAGGCTAAATTTAGGAGGGCCAACTATGTGGGGAATGTCAGCTTGTCCGGCTGGCTGACAGGACTGGCTTGTCAGTTCCTAGATGGAGTTCTGAGCAGGCTGAGAGGCCTGGGGGAGCCTGGGAGTTTGTCTTAGCTGGCTTTATTTTAGGGGGGGGACAGAGTCATAAGGAGGGGGTACAATGAACTCTCTTGTGCCTCCTGCTTACAACTAATAGCATGCGAGCTTTCCCCATGACCCCAGGACCCTGGCGGGTGACACTTAAGAGCATCCTACCACTCTAAAATTCAGAGATGAAAACACCTATGGTGTTTGGAGGCGTGGCTCCGTGGGTAGAGCACTAGCCAATGAGTGAAAGTGTCAGGTACTGAGTTGGAGTCCCGGTCTAGGACCAAAGAAAAGAAAGAAAAGAATAACAAGTAGGTGTGGCTTCTCTGCTCCATGGACCCAGGGGATGGTTTATTTAGATACAGCTGTAGGCATCCAAACCCTTTAGTGGTCAGTATGGGCTTCTTGTAGCTGCTGTAACAAAACACATCACTTTGGTGGAATAAAACAACAGTGATGCTGGGCGCTCGTGGCTCACGCCTGTCATCCTAGCTACTCAGGAGGCTGAGATCTGAGGATCGCGGTTCAAAGCCAGCCTGGGCAGAAAAGTCTGGGAGACGCTGATCCCCAATAAACCACTAGAAAACCGGAAGTGGTGCTGTGGCTCAAGTGGTAGAGCGCTGGCCTTGAGCTGAAGAGCTGAGGGACAGCGCCCAGGCCCAGAGTTCAGGCCCCACAACTGGCAAAGAAAAAGAAAGAACAAGAGAAAAACATAACTGCTCAAGTCAGTGTGAGACTCCTTCCACTGGGGGCGCAGCCCAGCCCCACCTCCGCCCACAACCTTTCTTTTCCCAGCTTAGTGACAGAGCTGCCACCAACTATAAGGGGAAGAGGCCTGAGAGCTGCGCGAGGGCAGGGGAACCCCTGGACCACAGAGGGGCTTTCTGGGCAGGCAGAGCAAGGTGCAATGCAACAACAGAACACGCGGCTCACAAGACCTGTGCGAGCCTCTGCAAGGGAACTGAAGAGACAGCGTGGCATTTGGGAGGAAAGGTCACGTGAGCCGCAACTGTGTGGGAAAGCGAGTCGGGGAGAAGGCAGGGCAGGCATGACCCCAGCTCAAAGTCAGAGCCGGCTGCAAGTGGCCTGGAGGAGACGGAGGGAGAGGGCCAAGGACAAGAACAGAGCTGCCCGCTGCACCCACACTCCCCACCCACCCCCCAGGATGCCAGCGGGACCCCCTCCCCCATGCCAGCACCAGCCCGCACCAGGTAAAACCAGCCGAGGGCAGCCACAGTCCCCCTTTCAGTGTCAGCTCAGAGGAGGTGGCTGCAATAGCCGGCGCTCTGGCAGCCTTGGGTGCCCCCAGTGAAGTGGGGTTGTAATCCAGGGACAAGAGGAGGTACATCTGTGCACCCCAAATGGCCAAGGCCGCATATGAGACCCAGAAAGCTTGCTTTCTTCCCGATACCCTAAGGCCCGGTGCTCTGGCCTCTCCCAGCACTCCATTTCCAGGGGAGGGTGAAGAGGAGTTTGATCTTCTCAGGGTCTCCAGAGCATTAAGAGTCTTCCAGGACACCTGGATTTCAAGCTTGTATTTGCAAGTACCACCCCACACACCTGTGTCCACAGGAAGTCTGCATCCTGTTCCAAACTTAGACTCCCAACCAAGTTTTAAAACTCGCAGGGAGATTTGCATAATATAAGATTGACTGTTCTCAAATGAGTAAGTGACTCACGCCTGTAATCCCAGCCACTCAAGGAGAATGAGACCTCCGGATCCTGGCTCAAAGCCAATCTGGGCAGAAAAGTCCTCGTGAGGATTTTGTTTTTTGTTTTCTGCCAGTCCTAGGGCTTGAACTTAGGGCCTGGGCACTGTCCCTGAGCTTCTTTTGCTCAAGGCTAGCACTCTACCACTTGAGCCACAGCACCACTTCTGGCTTTTTCTGTGTATGTATGTGGTACTGAGGAATCAAACTCAGGGCTTTGTGCATGCTAGGCAAGTACTCTTCCACTAAGCCCCTTTCCCAGGATCTCTGTGTATTCTCCCTTCATGTGGCTTGTGTCTGAGCTCCGTTCCTGTTCAGGGCTGAGTAGTATTCCAGTGCACAGATGGATCCCACTGTGTTTATCCACCATCTGTTGGTGGGTGTTTGAATTGTTCCCACCTTTTGGCTGCTGTGGAAATGGTACTTTTGTCTGAAGATCTGTTTCCCACACAGCCTGGGGAACTGCTGGGTAATGACTTCTTACCTTTGGCCCTGACCACGCCTCCTCTCCTGCACTCACTCCAGTGTGACTAGCTCTTTAGTTAGACTTGGCTGGTGCCTGGCTACCTATGTGCTGTCCTCAGCCCCCAGCATGCATGCAGCAGCAGTGCAGGGGAGGCAGGGCCCCCCAGGGCACTTTAAGTATAAGGCTCCCCAGAAGACAGACTGCTGGGCGCAGGGCAGCGGCACTGGTGAGGGTTCTATGCCTTGTTAGATCCTGGTGGAAACAGCCCTGGCAGGGACAGGAAGCGGGGAAGCCCCCGGTGCCTCCCCCCCAGGGGAGCAGGGCCTCCTTTGCAGAGCTTTCTAGCATGCCTGATCTTTGGGGAAGCTCAGAGCCGGCTTCCAGTGGGATCTGTTTGGCAGATGGCGCCAGCGGACATGGCTTCTGCCCTACCTGGCCCCAGCTCTGTTCCCCCAGCAGCAAGCTCTGGGTCCCCAGCTTCCTCCTCCCAGTTCTCCCCACCTGGTGTGTCTGTGTGTGTGGGGGGGGGGGGAGGAGATACAGAGGAAACTTCTAGAAAGCAAGACCCAGCAGGGCTACAGCTTAGTGTCTGGTGGCATGGGTTCATTTCTGTCACCACTCCCGAATTCCTGCAGAATTCTCCCCACCCCCCAGGACCTCAGAATGTGACCTCATTACGGCTGATTGCAGATGGCGGATGACACCCCAGCCAAGCAGGTTGGACTCTTAATCTGATGCTAGGAACTCAAGAGGGTCCAGGCGCCAGTGGCTCACGTCTGTAATCCTAGCTAGTCAGGAGGCTGAGATCTGAGGATCGTAGTTCAAAGTCAGGCGAAGGAGGAAAGTCTAGGAGACTTCTCCCAGTGAACCACCAAAAAAGCTGGAAGCGGCACTGTAGCCTTGAGCGGAAAAAGCTCAGGGACAGCGCCCAGGCCCTGAGTTCAAGCCCTAGGGGTCGCACTGGGGATCGAATTCAGCACGTTGCACTTGTTAGGCCAGGCACGGTGCCAACGGAGCCACGCCCACCCACTGAGCGCAAGCCACGCCCCCAGCCGGAGCCACGCCCCTCGGAGGAGCCACGCCCCCAGCCTGTTCTCGTGTTTGGAGTCTCTGCAACTTTTCCTGCAGGGCCTGGCTTTGAACTGTGATTTTTCAGATCTCAGCCTTCTGGGTAGCTAAGATGACAGGTCCCCAGCAGATAGGCACGGTGGGGGTCAGGGACCACTGTGGGGAGACAGAGGACTCCCCAGGTCAGGGCCGGCCCTGCCCAGCCCTGCCTGACCTGGACTCTGGTCCTCCGGAAGGGATCGGAAGGAGGACGTTTTGCTGTGGAAGGCACCTGTGCGCGCTTCATTATTCCAGCAGAGCTATCCACTGGGCTGAGATCTGTCTTTAACTCCTGGCAGCCAGAGACGCCCCCCCCCCCTCCCCGGGACAATGGGAGGGACGTAGGAGTAGACCAGGGCAACTGCGGGGAGGAGGACCCCTCAGTGGTCCAGGGGAGCCAGAACGGTCTGGTGGACGGGGAATAGGACCCTACAACCCAGCTCGGGAGGCGTGACCAAGTGCCTGCCCAGCAGTGGAGGCCCAGCAGCAGAGGCCTGGCAGTGGAGGCCCGGCTCCACTCAGTAAAGATAAGGGAGGAGACCCAGGGGTTGGGGAAGGGCTCTGGGCAGGTGTCTCCCCCCCACACACACGCACCCAGGGGACAGCTCACTGACATCAGAGAACATTACAAAGCCCAACTTTGGGGGGATTGTGTTTTTTGGGGGGAGAGGGGTGGTGCTGGGTCTGAATTCGGAGCCTCCACCTCCCCCCTTATTTTTTCCAGTTAATTTTTTAATCTGCTGTCTCCTTCTGTTCCAGGCAGCCTGGGATGCGTCTCTCAAGCAGGCAGGGCTGGGCAGCAGCCAGACACCTGAGACACAGCTCCAGAAACTCGAGGCTGGCCTCCAGGGAGGCCCTGGGCAGGACAGAGGGCCAGCTGGGGAGAGGGGGACATTCTCAGAAGTCAGGCTGCTGGCTGCCACCTCCTGCCCTTGCAGCTGGGTGGAGTGAGGGTGGCGCTGGCCCCTTGCTGGGCAGCGGAGCTTCCCTCCCATGCCCCCCCTCACCTCCCAGCCCTTACTAAGCCTCTCTGTGGCGGGATCCAGGGCCCAGGCTAGACAGCCTGGGAGACACATGGCGGGAAGCGATGACGGCAAGGGATGGCAGCGCGCCGGCTCGGTCTCCTCTCCACAGGCTGACTACACGGGAGAGGAATTCCGCCGGCCAGTGTCTAGACTGCGGGGACCGGGGACGCAGCGAGGTGCAGCCAGGAGCCAGGGTGGAGGCAGAGGCAGAGGCGGGCTCTGCTGCCACCTGGCGGGCGGTCACAGCCTGCGCTTGCAGGTGCATGGGGGGGGGAAGGAGCAGGGAGGGGAGGGTGCAGGGAGGGGAGGGTGCATGCTGGGGGGGAGGAGCAGGGAGGGGAGGGTGCAGGGGAGGGGAGGGTACAGGGAGGGGAGGGTGCATGGTGGGGGGGGAGGAGCAGGGAGGGGAGGGTGCACAGGAGGGGGGGAGCAGGGAGGGGAGGGGGAGCCCGCTCCTGTTTCATAATCCAATCATATATCAGAAAAACAGTTTTTGGCAGCACTGAGGTGTTTTTGTTTTTATGTTTTTGTGCCAGTACTAGAACTTGAACTCAGGGCCTTGGAACCTCCCCTTTGTTGTTGTGGTGGTGGTCGTGGGTTTGAACTCAGGAGCTGGGCGCTGGAATCTGAGCTTTTTCACTCACGGCTAGTGCTCTACTACTTGAGCCACAGCTTCACTTCCATGTTGTTTTGTTTGTTTTGCTGGAATTGGAGATAAGTCGCCACAACTTTCCTGCCGGGGGTTGGCTTTGACCTCCTGAGTAGCTAGGCTCAAAGGTGTGAGTGAGCCACCAGCGCCTGGCTCAGCACTGAGGTTTGAACTCAAGACCTCACGCCTGCCAGGCAGGCCCTTTACTACGTGCCCCATACCTCCAGCTACGTCTTTTCACTGATCTTTTTTTTTTACATAAGGGGACAGGGAAACTTCGGGGGTCCACGGAATATTCTGGCATTCATGGTGATGGCAGAACAATCTGCAAATGTGCTAGAACTCACAGAGGTGAGTTTCCTGATGAAAGCTCAGTGAAGTGCGGGGGGGGGGGGGGGGGGGGCTCCAGGCCGTAGGATGAGTGGTAAGTCAGAGGCACGGCGTGGTCCTCCCCCTTCACTGTGCGTGACTTCCCTCCCCGCTGCCCACTCCTGCTCGAGACCACTGAGATGGCTAGGGACCCCACCCAGGACCCCACCCACACCCACAGCAGGGCCCACACCCTGGGACACCTGCTTCTCAGGTCTGCCATGAAGGCCGATGTCAGAACAAAGAGCCTCGGCCACTGACACAAACTAGAAGATCCAGGGCCGGAAGTCAGGGGCTCCCAGGGGTGATGGGCTTCTTGGGGTGGCGTATGTGGCCCTTGGGGTCTGGGGCTGTGCTGCTCCCAGGTTGCCCCAAGTTCACAGCTGCCTCTTGCAGAGAACAGACTTCTGGGCTGCCGGGTTCCAGGTGGAGCTGGGAACTCCAATAACCTCTCTGGGCGTTTTGAGTGTCTAGATTTGCTTATAAATGGGGAAAAAAAATGTCCACTCTCTCCTCCCAGGATGCTTGGAAGACAGCAATGGCCACTTGGCCTTTTTCCCTCTTCCTAAATAACCCCTACAGCCTATTGAGGACTGAGCATAGACTACCACCCCACTTCAGGGCTGCATAGTGTCCCCTTCCAAAGAAAAATGCATCTACTGAAACCTCAAAAGTGGACAGTTAGGGGCTAAACTATATTGCTTTCCATTCCCTGTGTCATGGCGGGGGTGGTGAGTCATGCCTACAATCCCAGCTACACAGGAGGTAGAGCTGGGGAAGACTGTGGTTAGAGGTCAGCCTGGGCAAAAAAAAAAGTTTGCCAAGACTTCATCTCAACCAACAAGTCAGGCTTGGTGATATGTACTATAATCCCGGCTATTCAAGAGCCATAAATAGAAAGGTTGAGGTCCTGGCGAGCCAAGGCCAAACCACGAGGTCCTCAAAATAACTAAAGCAAAAATAAAACCCACGCGGGGTGTGACTCAGGGAGCAGAGCGCGCCTGCCTAGCCAAGCACAAGGCCCTGAGTTCAAACCCCAGTACCGCAGATTTTTAAGCCCCCTAGAATGGTGGTCATGTGTCTCAGTAGCAATTATTTGCACTGTCCCCCCCCCCCCCACTCCCTCCAACTGCTGTCCCCACAGGAATTCAGGCTGTCATTCCCAGGGGTTTTGTCTTGCGTTGAGTGAGCTGGTTAATTGAGCATCTACCATATGTGGGGGACAGGCTCCCCTCCTGCCCTTAGCTGCCCTGACCCACAGGGCAGAGTGCTCAGCTTTACAAAGATCCAAAATGTGGCCCTGTCAAAACCAATGGTAGGCCAGGCATGGGGGGGGGACTCACACCTGCAATCCCAGCTACTCAGGAGGCTGAGATCTGAGGATGGCCATTCGAAGCCAGCCAGACTTGGTTAGGAAAAACTCCATTGAAGCACCAGGAAACCAGCAGTGGTGCTATGGCTGAAGGTGGTAAAGAGCTAGCTTTGAGCAAAAGCAGCTCAGGGACAGCGCCCAGGCCCTGAGTTCAAGCCCCAGGACTGACAATAGAAAAAAAAATGCCACTTCCTCCAGGAAGCCCTCCAGGCACATCCCCAGGGGCGGGTACTGACTTGCACCCTAGAACAGTCTTGTCTTTGACAGCTCAGTCATGGGGGGGGGGGGTCTTATCCTGGGGGACCCTGTGGGGGGGTGCCATGCCCCTGGCATGGAGCCGGTGGAGGCCAGGGGCCGGGCTCAGCCCTACACAGGGCCCAGGGTGTCCCAGGAGAACAACCTGGGTCCCCACCCATCAGCAGAGAGATAAGCGGGCAGCCGGCTGTACAGTGTGGCGCCAGGAGTTGGGGGTGCCCTGGTTAATGGTTTTCTGGGGGGTGCTGAGGGCGCCTCCCCCATTGCTATCTCCCTGAACACACGCCCCTCTCCCAAAGGCTGGCTCCTCCTAGCCTCCAGGACCGGGGTGCTGGCAGCAGGCTTGTAAACACTCTGGGCCCCTCCTCTTCCTTCTCCCTCCCCCCCCCTCCTCCCTGGGGCTTCGGATTCCAGGGGGACAGCTCCGCTCCCAGCCCGCTACTGACTCAGCAGAATGTGTGTGTGTGTGTGTGTGTGTGTGTGTGTGTGTGTGGAGGGGGAGGAACGGGGGACAGGGCACTGGGGACAGGATGCCACATTCCAGAGGCTTCCAGCTCCATGGCTCAGCCCTTAGCCGGCAGCTGACTCAGCCAGGCTGGACGCGTGTGACCCTGTCTCTTTTGGGGGAGCACAACAGTTATGTTCTCGAGGCTCTCTGTGCACTGGTCCCCCCCCCCCATAAGGTCGCCTCCGTGCGGGTCAGGAGAGGATGGTGGGGTTCTTTCCCTCCTTCTCTGAACATCTGGAAGGGCTTTCGCTCACGGGCCAGCTGCTGTGCGGCGCTGGGCACAGCACGCAGCCTCTCTGTGGACTGTCCGCCCTGCCCGCTCGGGAAACGGGGAGTTGGCTAAGGCTGAAAGCAAAGTCTTGGTCAGGGCGGGTGGGGGTGGGGGGAAGTGGGGTGCTTCTTCACCTGGGATTGGAGTTCCTGTTCAAGTTCACCAGGGCTGGGCCCCATTTTCTTTTTTTTTTTTTTTTTTTTTTTTTTTTTTTTGTTTTTTTTTTTTTTGGGTCTGGTCATGGGGCCTGAACTCTGGGGCTGGGCGCTGTCCCTCAGCTCTTCAGCTCAAGGCTAGCACTCTACCACTTGAGCCACAGCACCATTTCCGACTTTTTTCTTTTTGCTTATGTGGTGCTGAGGAATCGAACCCAGGGCCTTGGGCATGCAAGGCAAGCGCTCTACCACTGAGCCACCTTCCCAGCCCTGGGCCCCATTTTCTGGCTGTTGGGTGGGGGCTGCCCTGGGGCTCTGCCTCCTGCCCCATGCTGGGGCAGCTCGCAGCTGGGCTATTTCCAGACTCTCTCTCTCTCTCTCTCTCTCTCTCTCTCTGGCTCTGTCTGTCTGTCCCACCGTCTCTTCATGTCTTATAGAAAATCCCCCCACTTTACCACAGTTGTGTGCTGGGCCACTGGAACGCGTGGATTCTCGCCTCTGTCCCCCGTGGAGCCACCCGTGACTCCCCAGCCCCTGGGCCCCAGGTCCCCGACCCACTATCCCTCTTCCTGTCTGAATCTGCCACCCCTGGGTGTACTTCCGGTCTCTTGGACGATATCAGAGTTCATGATGGGGGGGCTTCATTTACACCTGCAAAAGGCTTTCTGCCTATTACACAAACCCAGGGAGGGGGATTAGATAAGGCAGGGACGCCCAAGGGTGCCATCCTGGAACGGTGCCATCCTGGAACGCAGCCATCTTGGACTGGTGCCATCTTGGAACTGTGCCTACTACAGCAGGGACACACAAAAAAACATGCTGGCAATGGCACCTCGGCAAACACATGACCAGTAACCTATAAAGAACGTGCCCCATGAAGTCCAGGCTCCATGAAGGCACACAGAAGATTCCACAGAGGAGAGTGGAGAGAGGATCAGTCCACTCGCGTTTTCAGGAGGTCTGCGCAGGCTGGGAAGCAAGGGACAGGTCTACGCTTGAGCTTTTCCGTGTCTCTGGGGATAGATGGCCAGTGTGCATCGCAGAGCTCAGCTGTTGGTTGAGAAGGAGTTTATCAAGCTTTCAGGCCTGAGCTGACCTCTAATCCTTATCCTCAGATCTCCCAAGTAGCTGTGATTACCGGCATGGGCGTAACCTTGCCATCTGCCTCTGTGTTCCTCACACAGGAAGGCATGGACAGCCATAGCTGTCCATGGAGGGACACTCCATGGCTGTCTTCCCCCTCCCCCCACCCCCCTCACCCCCCCTCCCTGCCCAAGTAGCTTCCTCAGAGAGACCTTTGACCTTTGACCACCTTCCAAAATGACCTCATGACTGCAGAATTCAGCACCTGACAGTTCCACTTTCTGCTTTTTTGGATAGTTTATTGGCAATAAGATTCTCATGGACTTTCTTGCCCAGGCGGGCTTTGAGCTGCCATCCTTATAGCTCAGCCTCCCGAGTAGCTAGGATTACAGGCGTGAGCTACCAGTACCTAGCTTAGGAAGCCACTCACCCTGCTGGGCCTCAGTGTCCTATCTGTGCAGGGGGTGTGCTGCAGACCTGCGGACATCTGTGTGTTCTCAACAGAGAGCTTTCCTGAGACAGCTGGAGATGAGGGTGTGGCCCAGACCCATCAGGAATTTGGGGTGCTGGACTTGCAAGGGGATAGTTATCAATGGG